AGATTTTTGGTTAAGTTAATAAAGTTGATTTTCTCTTAAAGCCTTGTGTGCTTCTTGATATTAGGTTCTGTCCGAACCGACACAACTCACGATCACGGTACGGGTTGCAAAGCCTTAGGCTGTGGTCGAGAGGACATACTCGCGGATGGACCAACTAGAGTAGCTGGATTTGTTCTAGATGCCTCGGTTGGACTGTCTACGAGTATCAAACCGTGGCGATTCCGGACCGTCTGGATTTCTAGAACGGTTCAGGGTCGCTACAGTTTTAGGTGGTATCAGAGCATGGTTCATGATGCTCATGGGACACAAGTTTTCAAATGTTTTATCGAGTAAATATTGAGTCGCAAAGGCAATTAGGAAACCGGTATGTCCATGTAGGGTAGGTAGATGGGATTAGGATTTACCCTTTGTGTTGGTTGCAGATCGCAGAGTTAAGGAAGAGTGGGTGGCCGTTACCATGTATGGAGAAAGTTGAGAGACTTGCCACAATATTTTTGGGTCATTGAAAATGTTCAAGGGAAGAGCATGACCCAAAGTTTGTGTAAGTACTCGCTTGATTCTACGTGTGTAGCTTTCAGTGGTGCATCCGTCCGGCGTGTCCAAGGATCGAGGATCCTGAGAAGCAGCGAGTGACTGTAAGTTGTGTGTGCCTTTAGATTTAGAGTCCCTAAACTTTCATGACCGAAAGGTTCCGTTCCAGGTAAGTATGGGTTCTAACCTCTCGTTTTGATTGAGTGTTTTTGCGTGCTTTTATTTATTTATTGCTTGCTTGTTTGGTTAGTTAGTGGTGTAGTTAGTTATTGTTTGTTATTCTGTTGTGAGGAACATTACATGGTGGTGGTAGTTCCACGGATGTTCTGTTTGTTTTGGGAGTATCACATAGTCTTGTGACTCCTCTGGTTGAAGCTGAGTTAGGGAACTTATGCTGAAAGGAGTGTAGTATTTCTATACTAACTCGTGGAACTCGGATTTTGGGAGCAGAGAATCTCGTGGTAGAAGTTCCCGTGATTATTGTGAAGAGAACATTTCCGGCTAACGTGGTTGTGCTTCAAATTGTGGGATTTGAAGTGATTCTCGGCATGGATTGGCAATCCAAGTTTAAGGCAAAAATTTTCTTGTGGAAGAGGTAGGATTACCGTTGGAGATGAAGAGAAGAATATGATGGCTTACTACGGTTTTGACCTAGTACGAGAGCATCATATGTCTTGGCATTGTGAATGCAAAAAGAGTTGGAAGAAAGTGAAGTGTGTCTGGTCTATCTAATTGTTATTAGAGGAGATTTAGATGTTGTGTTGAGTGTTGAGGCAATTCTGATAGTTTGAGACTATCCGAAAGTGTTTAAACCGTTGGAAGGATTATCTCCACGCTGGAGTAATCAGTTTTTGATTGAGCTTATGTTTGGAGTGTCACCGATAGCAAAGTTGTTGTATTAGACGGTAACATCAGAGTTGGTGTGCGATTTCTTAGCGCTGGAACTTCTGCAATTTGTTTTTAGAACTGCTATCACATTAAAAAGTGATTGTTCTGTGCGTACGGCAGGTTAGATCTTGTTCCTATTGGCGACAGCAATTCCTTGTTAATGGTAAAGTAGATTCTTCTGGGGTTGAAGCTATGCATGTGGTAGTAGCCTATGTATGTGTTAGTGTCAACTAAGAGAAGCCTTGGTTGGCAGAGAGAATTGTGGCGAGAGGCCAAGAGTGTGTTTGGAAGTATCATGATGATATTTCTAGATTGTTGACTAGAGTTGAAGATTGACTTGGAAGTTTTGATCGAGGAAGGATCAACTTACTAAGTTCAGCGTCATGGAAAACTATGTTAATATTCATGTTGAATATTAGAGCAAGTTATTAGAGAAAGCATGAGATCGAAAATCGTTGGGGCGATAATCTCCTTGCTGAAGTAGTGTGAGTTCTAAGGAGAGGCAAGTTGTGGAGATTAGTGAGAATCTCGGAGCATGTGTTGTAATGGACATGGCTCTCTTATTGTTGTTAATTTTTAAATTAACGTTTAGTTGTAGTAAATTACTTGGACTTGAGCTGGGTACTAAGTCAAGTATATTTACATAGTGCTATGTTGAGATTTGTGTGAATTTTTGGAGCATGAACGGGGAAAAAGTACATTGTTCGGAAAGAAATTGATCGGGGAGGATCACTGGTGAATAAAAAGAAAGAGAAAATTGCGAGATTATTGGTGGAGGATTGAGAATCCAAAACCGATGTATTGTAAAAGAAAAATAAAAGTCGAGTGTCAGAGTGGCGCAGTGGAAGCATAGCAAGGATATTCCAGTAGTACGGTACTACCAGGATGTTTTCAAACCGTTTGAAGGATTACCTCCACCGTGGAGTAACCCATTTACGATTAAGCTTGAGCCTTGAACGGCCGCGATAGCAAAGGCAACGTATCAGATGGCGCCGGCTCAGTTAGCAGAACTGAAGAAGCAATTTGAAGATTTGATAGAAAAAGGTTTTGTGCGATCAAGTTCTTCACCTTGGGGAGCCCCGGTTTTGTTTGTGAAGAAGAAGGATGGAAGTATGAGGTTATGTATTGATTACCGTGGTATCAATAACATTACTATCAAAGATAAGTATCCGCTTCCCCGGATTGATGAGTTGTTGGATCAATTGCGTGGTGTAAATTGGTTCTCAAAGATTGATTTAGCTTCGGGCTACCATCAGATTCCGATCTTAGAGACGGATATTTCGAAGATGGCGTTTAGGACTCGATACGGGCAGTATGAGTTTGTAGTAATGCCGTTTGGGCTTACTAACGGGCTGGTAGCATTTATGCGTTTGACGAGTGAGGTGTTCCATGATTATCTTGACAAGTTTGTCATTATATTCATATACGATATTCTCGTATATTCTAGGAGTGAGGAGGAACACCGGGATCATTTGTCTAGCATGTTGGCAAGGTTGAAAGAGCAGAAGCTTTTTGCTAAGCTTAGTAAATGTAGCTTCTGGAAAAGAGAAATTGGATTCCTTGGGCATCGTGTCTCGGAGAAGGGAGTGTCCGTGGATCCAGAGAAGATTGCAGCGAATCAAGATTGGCCGCGTCATACCACCGTAACGGAGGTACAGAGTTTTCTTGGAATGGCTAGTTACTACCGTAAATTTGTTGAAGGAGTTTCTAGTTTAGCGAAACCTTTAACAAAATTGACGGGGAAAGACTTGGAGTTGCTTGATAGTGAATTCAAGAAGATAAGCTTGGCAGCATTAGAAGGAGAATCTAGTGAGCCTTTAGGGATTCAAACGGTGAATCAAGCTAAATTGCTTCAAAGAATTCGAGAAGTGTCTTATCGATTGGAACTTCCGGAAAGTATGAAAGCGTTGCATCCGGTGTTTCATGTGTCTATGTTGAGGAGACATATCTGAGATCCTAATGCGATCGAGCCAGAGAGGATCGATGACTTGCAGACGGAATTGACTTATTCTAAAGGACCACTGAGTATTGGTGCGAGGCGTATTCGAACCCTCAGGAAAAGGAGGATTCCTCAGGTGCAAGTGTTTTGGGGAAAGCAACATCGTGTTGTAGTCACTTGGGAAGATGAGGAAAATT